GAAATTTTAAAACAAAATATTTAAAAAGGTTTAAAAAATTAAAAACAATTCAAACTTTTGAAAATACTAGCCATAATGAATGTTTTAAGAATTCTTTAACATTAAAAAAAAAGTAATAAATAATTGAATTACAATATTGCGGAGGTGTGAAAAAATAATAATTTATGAGTGTAGAAATTCATTTAAGACGTAAAAATTATTTGGGTTCAAAAATTAAAAATCCAATAGCGCAGAATTTCACAGGTTTAACAATAACAATTTCTTTAACATATAAAAATAAATGCATTTAGCAATTGGTAAAACTAATAATTCCAAAAATGTGTGTGTAAGTATAAAGTTTTTAGCAGTGTGACATATTTTTTATAAACTTTTACTAATTGTTGAAAATTATTGGCTTTGCACTTTCATTTACTTCTTTTACAAAGAATAAATATTGATAAGACAGGATAACTTTTTGTTTAAACTCTTCTAACGATTTAGTGGACTGTCTGTTTACTTGCTATCAAACTACTGTTATTTGCGTTTCGAAATTTAAATTGTTTCGCATTTTTCATACTAAGCTTACGCATTGCGCTACATACCATAACTATCAATTTTTTTATGTTGTTGTTTTTGGTGCGCTAAGTTTAGCAAATTTCTTGTTTTTGTTTCTTTTCAATTTATACTTTAATAGCTTCACATTCATTTTTCAATTATGCGAAAATATTTATCGACATAAACATTTAATATTACTAAAACGCTTAAATTGATCGCTTACGTAAATTTGTATGAAATAGGTATGTATGTATGTTTGTTTGTTTCAATTTGCAATTGAAATTGTATGTAGAATAATATTATTTAAATATATACGTATATTTATGTTGTAGGTATGTATGTATGTAAGTATGTATAAATTGTTTTGGGTTTTATGTTGTTTCATTTAAAGTTGAGTTATTTTACAATATAATATAATATTAATTAATAATAATGACATAAATATGTGTATAGGCACTTTCCTTTAGTTCAGAATTTTCCATTTAGATTCTCAAATTTTCTTATAAAGTTTTGCAGTTTTTATCATTACGTGTTAGTAAAGTTAAAAAATAAGTATTTTTTGGTTGAATTTTAAGATCATCACCTTAAGTTTAAAAAATATACATACATACATGTAAGTATTCGCTAACATGGTTGTAGGGATTTAAGAGTTGAAATTTCATTTGTGGCAAAAGCTTTTGTTTGTTGAACTTTTACACAAAGCTTAAAGTATAAGTTTGTGGCAAATTTTTCATAGAAAAGTTTCAAAAAGTTTTGGCAACGCTTACGGAAACTAATTAAATTCTAAGATTATTATGCAACCATGCAGTTTTTCTTTAGTAGGTCTTAAATATTTGATTTTTTCGGTTTACCGTTAAAATAAAATCTTTATCTAAGTCTTAATTATAAGAAACATGTTTTTATAGTACATATATAACTACATACATATATTCATATTATATTTGTGTATAAAAATGAAAATTAAATATTTAGAGTAGCACTAAATTTAAGTAAGGCTTAATTGAGTAGGCTTAAGAATTGTTGTTTTGTAGTAGTACATGTTTAAGTTAAGGCGCCGCGCTCGAAAATAGAAATGGAAGTCGAAATAAAAAACCGCATTTTTTATAAAATTGTTATTGAAACTTTAGAGAAATTTGCTTGAAATTTAAGACACACTTTATCAGCCGCTTCTAATGCAAACTTTTTGTGAGCAATTATTACCATTAAAAGCAATGAAAACGTTTTTTTCTACTTTATCTTACTATCGATAATATTTTAGACACGTAAAGTCCTCAAAAATGCTGTACATATTACGCAAACTTGTGTAACTACATTTTAAACTATTTTAAGCTTATTCAGCGCGCGCTGAATTGTTGTCAATAGCGTTAAAACGCATTTTCATGACATTTCCGGTATTTGCCGTCTCTGGAATCTGCGTGAAACGTGTGCTTACAAATTATTTCAATTAATCAGCGAAATACGCCTGCAATGTTAATTGAAGCGCAATAAAAATTTAGAATAAATTTTATAATTTTCAAAAATTTTAAATTTTTGAAATATTTTTTAAAATTTGGAAATATCTGTAAGCACATTTTAAATACAGTAACAACTTAAAAACGTTACAAATTTGCGCATATTTACACAATTACATATTTATGTACGTACATTAAGCAGCAAACGATTATAAACATATTCAAATGTTACATTTTCACGCAGAAATGTTTTAGTAAAAAAAGAATTATATAATTTCTGTAAGAAAAAACATAAAATGAGACAAGTTTTTAAAAAAAAAAAAAAAAAATTTATTGAACTAAAAGTATAAATTGATTTACTAAATCCATATATTAGGTCAGTAAGTCCAACCGTTGATTCACTACATTTAAAAAATATACCAGCAAGTCCAACCAATTGCGAGCGTTGGCGCCTTAACACATTGAGTGTTGATAGTTGGGTTTTGGTTTTTAGAATTTTCAATATTTTTCTTTTGGTTTTTTGTTTTTAAATTTTTAAGGGTAATTTTGAAATAGCACGTGGAATAAGCGGCTGTTTTTCGCTATCAATTTGTATAAGAATTTGTGGTTTTTCATTCATTTTTCTGTTTTTTTTTTTCAAACATTTTTTAGCTTTTTGGATTGTCCGGCTTTTTTTTTTAACTTTAGACATACATAGCATTTACAGTTATCTACGGTAGACTCATTTGGTAACTATTTACAACTTTTCACATTCTTGCATAAATATGTATATATGTTGTATGCTTGTTACTTCTTGCACACATTTGATATATTTAAGTTTATCTTATATAGTATTACCATGTACAATGTACATATATATGTTTGTAGTAAGTGTTTTGTATACGTTAAAAACTCAACATTTTTTATTGCCTACATTTAGGTGTTTAGGCGTCATTATACACTAGTTTAGTATAGTTGTCTAAAATTGGATTGTGTTTGTGTGTATGCTTATATGGTATGTATGTGTATATAAGTGTGTATGTATATATGTATTTGTGTTTTATATATATTATGCTAGTTTTATTATTAACGTACAATTAATATTGCCATTTATCATTGATGACCACTTATCATTTATGATCACTTAACATATTCCTCTATGTTTATATGTATGCACGTATATATGTATATATATAATCTTTAAGACTACTATTTTGTCTATAGGCTTAAGTAAATTGTAGTTTTAGTTGCAACGCTTACAAACGCACGCATTCGCTTAGTAACGCTCTAACAAATAATATTCACTTTTAACATTTGCTTTTGTTTAACAGTTGGCTGCTTTGTTACTTTGTCAATTATTTTTTGACATTTTTTGTTTTGGTTTTTACATTTTGATTTGCTGCGCAGTTCACTTTCATACGCTATAAACAATTAGTGTAATAGTAAACAATTAAATTAGTAATTAAAAGGCGGCATAAAGCTTTCAATTAAAAATATTTAATTTATAATATTTTTTTTTAACTCAACTCAGCCGCTACAAACTGAGCAATCAACATTTTTTATACTTGCAATTAGTTAATTATTTTATATTATATTCTTTTTGCTAAAAAGGTACTTGAAGTGAATTTATTTTGCGTTTTAAAGTTGCATTTTGCTCGCCTTTCATAACATACTTATACTGTCTAGTATCTATACCTTCTAACTTAAATGCTAAACTTTAATATGCATTTAAATATTTTTGTGTTTTTGATTTGCTAGTTACTTTTGCTACTTTTTCTTATTAAATGTTACACTTTATGTTTTTGCTTTTTAAACTAAATACAATAAAATTAAACTCGAAACTTAAAATGTTTCGTATGAGCTTTTTAAAAGCTATTTAAAAAGCAAAATTATTTATTGAAAATTTTTCAACAAACAAATTTGCGATTTTTTAAAAATGTTATTAGAATAATTATTTTTAGCGTGCGGAAAAACAATTCGCATAGCGCTTTGCATAAAACTATGGTTTGGCATAAAACATTGCAATTTCTTGAAGAAATCAGAAAAATATATAACGTTTTAAAATTGGAAGCAAAGTACCTTATAAATAAATACAAACTAATTTAAAGATATTAGAAAACTTTAAAGGTAATTCAGAAAGCGAAATACGCGCAATTATAGAAGCAGTAAGTGTTTACAACTTTGCTACAATGAAATGGTATTCAGCGCGGTGCAAAAATAAATATTTGAAACTCTCTTTATAAAGCTTTAAAGGTAATAATCATGATTATTGTATTGCTTACATTTTTAATGCAATGAAAAGGTATTCAGCGCACTATACGAAAACGTGTGAAAACTTTTAAAAATCACATATTTTTAAAAAAAGTATTAGTTGGAAAAATTTAATTAATAAGTTCAGCGCGCCTAATGATAAATTAATAGCATTTCCAGCATGCCTTGGTATAACGTTAAAAGCAAGTTCTGGTATGTTAATATTCAGCGCGCTATATAATAAATGAAAAGCGGTTAAGAATGTGTTCCGCAAATACATCGAAAGGGCACTTTGTAAATGGTTGAACCAAAGATCCATTGTGTTTACTGATATTCAATGTGCTTTTTAATAAATTAATATCATTTTACCGTACTCTAAAGCGCTTAGCAATGATTTTAGCATATTTACCACATTCATTAATACTTTAAACGTATCAATTGATATTCAGCACGCTGCGCATTATTTCACTAACATTTTCGCCATTTTAATTCGTATTAAGCGCGCGAGTATTACATTTTTTTCTGTATTTTCACTTATATTCAGCCCGTCTGGTACTACGTTCAATGCATATTTTACCTGTAAAAGTTTAATTTTGCCAAGTTTTTTATAGCACGTGAAGTGCACGTTTTCGCATTAAAACTTCTCTGCAGCACTTATTGTGCATAAATATAACATTTTTCATTGTTTTTATCAGCAAAAGTAAGCTTTAGTAATATAATTTGTAAGTCCACAAAAGATTTCAAAATTATTAACGTAAGTGCAGTGAGTTTTAAATAAAATTTACTTTTACAAGCGCTGAATTGAATTTACCAGGTGTCGACGAACGCAAATCATTTTATTTGTAAGTATTACCGCCTAACGAATTATTTCGCAGTCTGAAAAACACATATGTATGTTTTTTCACATTTTCGTAAAACTTTACTTGGCAAATGTCAAAAAGTATGTATTTGCATTGGTCATTAACGTTTTTTTTTTTATCAGATAGAATTTTTCACATGGCTCCTAATTAGGAAGTAAAAATGCGAAATGCTACTTAAATTGAACTTAAGGGCCACCAGAACGTTAAACGCATTGCTCTTCTTCTTTTCGCCTTTTTGTTGCTTACGTACGTATAACACTTAAATTATTTTGTTGTTTTTTTACCAAGCCTAAATATATGCACTGTTTGTAAATTTTTAAAATTTCATACATTATTGTATGTATAGTCTTTATATGCCCAGCATAAACTCATTCTTTGTCCCCACAGCCCCCCCAACTCCTGCACTACTTATTTCCGTACATTTTTCCACTTACACACAAAAGCTGTCGCTCACCGTGCCTTGCTCATCCATGGCGCTTTGCGCTTGATTTTTGTGCGCAGACTACGCAAGGGTTTGATTTTACGCTGTGCACTGCCACCGGCTAAGGCGAGATGGTGGTGCAATTGGTGTGGTCCACTGTGTGCCGTGCCATAATAGCTGGGCGAATGAAAGCTGCTGCTGTCCTCGTACAAATGATGTTGCTGTTGTTGACTGTAGGCAACCGCACTGGTAAGTAATGCCATTTTACCGTTACCATTGGTGAAATTACTATTATTATTGTTGTTGTTGACTTTGTTGTTTTCAAGGCAGGCGGTAAGGTGTTCTTCTTCGACGCTGGTCGATGACGGTCGCTTTGTTGGTGATTCGACAACGGAGGAACGTGAGAGCGAGAGCAATGCATCGACGCCCTCACGTTGACGCCGTTGATCCTCCAACTCTTCGGGCGTGATGTTATTGCTGCAAAAAAACGTGGTATGAGGAAAACCATAACATATTAAATAAGAGTTGCTAGAAATAGTGCTCAATTTTGTCAATCCACACTTACTTATCTTCGCTGCTCTCGTATGCCGCATCGGAGGAAGTGTAATTGCTTTGATTATCGCCATTGCAACCATTTTGCTGCTGCTGTGTACCATTAACTACATGATGTGTATTGCCATTCAAGGCTAACGGTGCCACATTGCCATTGGCTACTGGTGTTGTAGAACCGCTGTTGGCACTAGCGCCACTGCCTGCACCCCCACCAGCAGAGTAGGTGTGATCCTCACTTGGTGAAGATGTTATAACGGGCGCACTACACACGAAAGGGAAAATATATATTTTAATAGTGCAAACATTGCAACGCGCGCACACAACTTACCCATTCTGGAAGGTCTCTGCAAACACCTTAGGGCCATGTTTCAACGCCAACATTGCCGTTGCAGCGTTTACATCGTCGATGCTATCAGCGCCACAGTCGCGTGCCAAGCGTTCGATACTTTCGTAGCTGCTAAAAGGACCCAATATGGAAGTGCTACCACCACTGACACCATTCTGTTGCACTGGTGAGCTATTATAAGTGTTGTATTTGTTGTTGCTACTGCTATTGTGATTATTTAAATTGTTATTATGATTTGTTGTACTATAGTCGGACGGAGTGTCTTCGTCGGGCACATCCTGCCCACCAATAACTTTTGACAATTTAGGATACAGTCGCGGATCAATCCGCGGATTTATGTTTAATTTAGGTGCTGGACTGCAGGCGCCGCCACCGCTGCTGCCTACACTGTCGACTGTATCGTAGCCAACCAGTGAGTCATTGCCGCCAGGGCTCTTCAGCGATGCCGACTTATCAACGGCCGAGTTGGGGAAGAATGGCGAGCGATTTAGCGCTTGTATGAGATTTTGTCTTTGTTGTGGTTCCACGCGCCAAAGCGAGCCCTTGCCCATATTCTACGGAAGAAATGCAATGAAATTAAATATTTGTAATAAATTCTTTTTTATAGCAAATTGCAAACTTTATATAAAACCGGAAAATACACAAACTTTGGCTGCACCGAAGCTATAATACCCCTTACAGGTGTGTTTCTTATAGCAAAAAAGAGTGCAAAAAAGATATCTAGATTTTGAACGGTCAATTTGTATGGCAACTAGCTATAGTGGTCCGATATCGGCGGTTCCGTCAAATGAACAGCTCCTTGGGGAGAAAAGGACGATTCAGATCGTTATCTCACAAACTAAGGGACTTTGTGTATATACATACGGACATGACAAAATCCGCTCAGCTCGTCAGACTGATCAACTAGATATATAATTTAGGTTCATCTCCGACATTTCCTTCTAAGTTTTGCAAACTTATTGGCAAACTTAATTTCCCCTATTCGGGATATAAAATAATATAAGATATTTTGCAATACTCACCGGCGCTTTCTCCACTTTAACAAAACTCTTGTTCAACGACAAATTGTGACGAACGCTGTTCTTCCAACCAGCTGGCGCTGTCTTGAAATATGGAAAATGCTGCATAATCCAAGCATAGATCTCTTTAACGGGCAAAGCTTTCTCGTTTGAGCCCTCAATGGCCATGAATATTAAGGAACTAAGTGTAAAAAAAAGAAAACAAATTATAAATTTCTACTTCAAATCTTTCCTGTTCTATAACTCACCTAAAACTATAGGGCGGTTTGTTGTGTGTGTGCACGAATGGATCGTACGGCACATTGTTCGGATGCTTTTGCTTTTGCGGTGTGACGGCACCGTTCGCATTTGACCCTCCACCGCCGCCAGTGCTACCATTATGGCTATTCTTCGAGGATGCCGATGAACCTGAAGACGACAGTTGTTGCGATTGCGTGGACTGATGCATTTGATGTTGTGGTGTACTGGTATTGTTGCGACTTAAGCCGCTTGAACCATTGGTGGATATTTCGAAATCCTTCAATGAGTCATTATCATAGCTGGAATAGGAGGTGGGTGAACGCATCGAGTTGCGTTGTTGCTGTAGCTGAGGTGCAACCAGTGGATACATTTCTTTGGAATTATTTGGTTCTGGCGAGGACATGCTTGGTGAGGAGCTGTAGGTAAACATGTAATTTATTTATAATTATTTGAAAATGTAAAGTAAAAATAATAAACAAACATTTGATACTTACGCCACACTTTGGTACTGCATTATGGCGTATGTGGGCGGCACACCCGCTGCCACCGGCGAGCTGGTGATCGTGTGGACGCTATTTGTGGCGACTGCTGACACACTGCCCAGCACCACTGTCGGCGTCGTATTCGCCGTGCTGGAGTAGTTTATGGCACCGCTACTGCTACTGCTGCCGTTAACAGCGCTGGTGTTGTGATTGTTGTTGGCTGCGCCAGCATAGAATGACTTAGAAACTGGACTATTACCACCGTTAACAGCGGCCGTGGACGATGAACTGGATAACACTGAGACGGACGAGGAAAACGAACTGCTCGAAGAAGCTGGCGAAGCGACTACGGTTATGTTAGAAGTTGTGGCATTAACAGTGCCATTGGTGCTGTTGACATTGTTGGCAGTTGTGTTGGCGATAACACCACCACCGCCACCACTACTGCTACCACCACCGCCATGATCCAGCACATTCATCTTTTCGCGCAAATATTTCTTGTGCGGGTGATGTGTGGTGCTGGAAGCGCTGCTACCGCTGCTTGTGTTGTTGTTACTAGTGACAGTTTGTTGCTTTTGGTGCTGCTGTTGTTGTCCTTGATAAATTGTGTTAGTCGTGCCGTTGCCATTGGTAACCGTAACAACACCGCCCGGCAGCGTTGTCAATTGCTTCGACAGGCTAAGCACTGTCGTACCGTTATTGGCGCCGGCAACGCTCAACTGAGTAGAGGGCGCCGTCGAGTAGGAAACAGATAATGCGGCAGGATTTGAAGCAGCGGCGGAAGCGGGTGTACTGGCTACAACTGAATGGGTGCTGTGAGTCGAAGGAGGTGAAGAAGGCACATAGTTGCTAGAATTTATATTATTGCTGTTATTATTTGCACTATTGTTGCTGCTGCTGCTTAAATTGGTCGGCGTTATAGTGGTGCCACTGTTGGCATTGCCAACACCGGCAGCACTGAGTAGTTGTCTCGGCTGTAGCGTCGGTATATTACCATTCGATTTGTACTCGACAACGGTGGTGGTACCGCTCGGTCCCATATGTACCGTAGTCGTGGCGCTAATGCCGCTGATATTGCCGAAAATGTGTGCCGGCTCATCTTTTCTACCAACCGCTGCAGCAGCTGTGCCGTCGTGCTGTGGCAGCAAAGTGATCGGTGTACCAGTTGTGATTATATTGCCGAAACGCTTGAGTTGCTGCAGATCGCCAACGCTAAGCGCTGTTATTTGTGTGCTGGCTTTCAGCTCAGTTGGTGTAGTGATGTTGTTGTTGTTATTATTAGTATTATTGCTTATGCCAGCACAAGTTGTGCTGACATTGCCGCTGGGCGCGGTGGTGGTTACCTCCTCACTACCCACATGATGTGGCAGCTCCTCGATCAGCTCATGCGCATTGCCAGCGCTTACTATGCAAATATTGCCGCTATTCGCTACACCACCCCGCTTTACATTGGCGCCGGCGGCACCACCCGCCGAACTCGTAGTCACTATGCCTTTAATCAAATTGCTGTCATTCAGCCACGCTAATGATCGCAGCTCCTCATCATTATCACCCGTAACACTCGTCGTTGTGGCAATGACACGCCCAACAGCAGTGGCATCACCACTCACCGCGGCACTACCATTCAAGTCCATCGGTTCGGTGGCAAGCAACACTATGTTGCCCACGCTGGGCGCTGCCACATTGCCGTTTGCTGCTGCCGCCGCTGGCGTTGGACCTTCGTAGGTGGTAAACTGTCCATTACCATTGGGCTGTAATAAAACATATTTGGATGTGGTGGGCATGTTATTAGTGTTGCTGCTGAAAGTTGTGCCACCGGTGCTGAATATTTTGCCGCCCGCTTTACCGTTACTGAGGTTTGCGCTCAGTATGGTTGCTTTGGCAAGAAAACTATTTAAACTGTTATTACTGTTGTTATTGTTGCTGCTGCTGCTGTTGCTACTGCTGCTGATAAAACTGGTAGCGTTGCTGACGGCGGGACTAATGTTGCTATGGTTAATGCTATTAACGGTGCGTAAACCATTTGTTGCTGCTGTAACCAGGCCGCGCGTTTGCGTACCTTGTTGCAAACCCTTACTGGTGAGCGAAGTGGCAGCGTTCGCGGGCAACAGGTGCGATGGTTGGATGAACAGGGCGTGGCCGTCGAGTGGGATAGTGGAGAAGACAAGATTACCGCCACTGGCGTTGCCGTTACTGTTGTTGTGATGATTATGTATGCCGTTTGTGATGATATTGCTATTGTGGCTGAGATTGAAATTGTGATTGCGGGTAGTGTTGTTGTTGTGGCCGTGGCTGTTATAATTGACGCTGTCGTCAACAGCTGTATTGTTATTGTTGGTGTTGATCACACGCTGTAGGGTACGTAAGCTGGTCAAATCATGTGTGGTTAAAATCTGTGTAGGATTATCCGGCGACATTCTGCAAAAAACGAGAGAACAACAGAAATTAGGAAAATATTCACAAAATGTATTGCATGCTTCAATTGACAGTTACACTAATTATATTTATCTAAGCCTACACAAGTGTTGCGAGTTTTTTGATTAAATTAATTTGCATTAAAAATTTGATTTTCGGTTATAAATTTAAATATTATCTTTATTAATATTTTCAGCATTACAAACAAAAATAATTTAAATGAACTATTTTTTATGCCATATTTTGCAACCCTAGCCCACATTGATATTTTTAACCGAAACCAATAAGGAAACTTATGTATTTACATACATACATACATACAGACTTCACCATTTATAATATAACACGTAATAAGTCAAATAGTAGAATACAACAACAAAAATCTAGCCATTGATATGCTTAACACCTCTTCTACTTTAACAAACAATTTTGGAACTTAATCGGTTTTTTTTTAATTCTCGCGGCCATAAGCAGATAAATACACATTATATGCGTTCCTAGATAAGATAAGCTAACAAAAAACTATTCTCAAATATAAGGCGTCACATGTTGTAAAACTTAGAATGTATTAGAATAAAAATATTTTTTTCTGTATACATACGAAAAACATATAAGCATACATATTATATAAAATGCGAAAAGCAGCTTAGTGCAAAATTCAGCAATATAGAATGAGTAGACTATATAAAAAAGGAAAAGTGCTATTAAATGCGCAGCAAATAGTAATAAAGTATTAGTATGCGAAATATCTGTGCAATAAAAAGCCAAGGTTATACAATACATGAGTACATAGATTGATATTTTGTACGTCTCAAAGTGAGTGTACATACATATATAGAATATAAAAATACATATTTTTGCATGTCCTCTACATACATATATGTATGTATAGAACAGAAAGCGTCTCTTTTGTACACAGTTTAGTAAACGCGTTTTTTTAGTTTAGATATTTTAGATAATATTTGAAAAAAATATAAGATTTGCGTAAAATGCAATTTGGGCACAATAGGTAGCAATTTGTCATTTTTAGATTTACCGCTTAGCTACTATTTTGCAGTGAAATATTGAGTATATTGCATGTTCAGCTATCATTTTTGCATATTAATTATTTGATAATTCCTTGTTTGTAATTAATTATAAGCATGTATTATTATGCATTTTGAATTTTTATTTCACTTTCATCATGATACACAAAATTAGCAGTTAATTTCTCAAGTTAAGCATCTATAAGTTATTAACAGCACATGCTGATGCAAACACCATGCTAGATATTTTACAGCGTTTACCATTTTGACAAGTCATTGCATTTTTTTCAACTCAATCTCAATTTTTGCACTTATCGACATTTCAAGCAGAAAAATTTAGTTTACTCTAGTCACTATTGTTGGAAGAATTCTTAAATAGTCCCACAAGCATTTCAGCATTGATTTTCGCAAGTTTTATGTGTAACTTGTGTGTTTCAATTGTCACGGTTACGAGCAATTCAATAAAATGTCAAGTCAAACTAACGAGCTGACTGCCATATTCGCAAATAATAAATGCCAAAAAATCATAAAATAAACCCAAATCAGCAGTAATTATTAAAAAAAGAAAATGCAATGTTGTCATAATAAAATTATCGTTTGTATCTTAAAGGAACGAACTCCCGCTTATGCGTCGGAATGTTGGTTTTATAATTGCCTAGACACGCGCGACACAATCGTCATCATTATTGGTAACCGCTTGCAAGTAAACTAAAGGAATTTCTATTCAATACTCGTGCAAATGTTTAAGCAGCCGTTAGCTATAGTAGAATTTAATAGTGCGTCGCGTCAGTTTAGACCCGATGCCAATGCCGCTAGCCGAAAAGTTGCTATAGTTACTTGATTGTAAACAAAAACGTATAAAAATGCTTGTAAATCAAATCAAATAGTGTGTTACGATGATTTACTAGAGAGAAAACGAATAGCACAAATAAAGCTAGAGGAGCAATCAGCAGGTGAACGAGAGTAATAACACATACACACATGTACATTTATGCGTATATATACATACATGGGATATTAGTGGGCAACGTCAAGGTGTTTACAAGCGTATGCTTCGCAATCTCAAAACTTAAACGAGCATTGTTGTACCCGCCAAGTTATGTAGGAATGCTCGTACATATTCCGAATCGGCATGCTTAGCTGGCACTCGTAACAACAAAACAACAAATTGTTGTTAGCGGGAAAGTGCCAGTGCCAAAGAGTATAGTGCAAAAATGAGTTAGTATTGGTTATAGTGAAAGGTAATGTTGTAGTTGTATACACAAAAAAGGTAAACATGTGACCACTGAACTTTAGTGGGGAAAAAAATGAGCACAACAAAAACACGAAAAATGAATGAGAGCAACTCAAGAAAAGCGAGAGCACACAGAGTGTCAGAGCGCATATAAGCCGGTAAAGCTTTTATTGTACTACAACTATAATGCCAACTTTACATACTCTTAAACATGTTTATGTATGTATATTTATCAAAAACCGGGCTAAAAATACATACAATGCTCCCAGCAAAAGTAAGCATGTACAACTGAAATTTGAGAAGAAACTAAAGAGCTCACGTTGGGGCGAAGAGCTGCCTCGAGCAACACATATTGGAATGCGCTCTTTGGACGCTCCACAGGCGCTTGCACCGAAATACAGTAAAAAAATAAATTTAATAAAAGCGTCTACGTTGACCGCGACCGCGACCGCCACTAGTCGCGTTGCAAAACCGGAGATAGACAACAGCGCAGTCGGTCGCCGTTTTAAGGCCGTTCCGATGTGTGTCGACGCCGCCAACGAAGTCATCTCCGTCGTCATCGTTTTTAAACGTTGGCATTTAATCATTTTTCACATACATAAAAATTTTTTGTTGCAATTTTTTTGTTTATAATCCTAAATGAGAAATACCGATACATAGGCTAATTGACGAAAACAATGCATAATGGAAATGTGAAGAAATAAAATGAAAATAAAATGTTGCGGCGGCAAAAGCTTGTTTATAAATCAGCAAATGCAAAAAGGTATACATACATACATCCTTATTTTCATACCATACAAACTTGTGAGTTTAAAAAGTTGCTGCCATTTTCCCTTGCAGCGCGTATGAAAAATATTAAAAAAAACTGCTGCCAATAATTTTGACAGTGACTTTTACACGCTTAATTATTGATATTTTTGGAGTTTGTTTTGTCCGTACATATTCTTCGTCAATTTACGAAACCTATTGCAAGCCGTTTTCTGTACAAATCCAAAACCGACAATCACTTCGTGAAATAATAAATATCATACCATTTCTATCACTGCAGTAATAAATTTTTAAAATGTAATTTTCCACTTGCCTGCAATTCTTTACAATTTTCCCTTAATTTATCGACACATTATTCATTTACAACTCCCGCATGCGGTTTCGCTTATGCTCGTCGCACTTTTATAAATGTCAAATGTCATGTGTTGGTATAACGTACCGAAACAACAACGTGTACTCGCGCCGCTTGACAATAGTGCAATGCTTTTTAAACCCTTTGGCCCACATTTACGCCCCCCTATTAAGAGCATTGTTGATTGGAGTGCTGTGTGCTGCTTTACTCCCGCTGGTGTTGTCTACTTTGGGCTGCATGCCAGATTTCACCAACTGTGTGTGCAACAGTGAAAGAGCTGCGACGAAGCTATAAGCAAATGCAAAGAGAGCACAGTGACAAATAAGGCGCAAACAGCGTCGCAGACTTGTGAAATGAGACGCGTGCTATTGCTACAATTATCGAGAGAGTGGTGAGTGCGTGAGCAAACGCTTGGGCGGAATTGAGTGGAGTGATGATGAAGTGCGTTAATTACTTAGAACACAAAACCAATAAAAAAAACACATAAAAGTGGGCACGGAGACCTTCAAAAGTCAATGATGATGACATAGTGCAGCCAATACATTTATAAGTATTATACATACATATGCACATATGTGTAGTATACGAACGCTTGTAGGAACAAGTAGTTGGCTACCTGTCGCGAAAAGAAGTCTGAAATGCTAGCAATCACTAATAAGCATTATGGATGTACATAATATACATACATATGTATGTCTGTATATGTATGTGCATTTGTATATACAGCTCGGTGATGAAATATTGTGTTTAGCTGCTTAAATGGATTTGTTGACTTTGTAGGTTACGAAAATATAAAACTGTTATGTACATACATGCCGAAACATGTCTGTACTTGTTTTTCGTTTAATATGACCAATATTATATAAAAAGTATTTTATTGAATTATAACTAAATTTTCACAAAATCTTTTACTTCTTCAACAAAAATATACAATTCGAATAATAATAAACATATGTAAATAAAACCATTCACAATAGATTTGGTTGCAAACCAAATAATGCATTAAAAGTGCACGAGAATTAATATTTAAATTAATAATTTTTGCTAACTCAGAAATCTGAATTAAAAATAATTTTCTAAATTCCAATTACAAATATCGGTTTGAAAATCCGAATTGTCCGGTTTTGATAGAAGGATTCGATTTTTGATAATAATTTCGATTTTTAAGCTATTCTGAAAAGCAAGTAAAAAACGACTTTTTTGAGAACACTCCATTTCATCAGAAATTGTAATTTTCTTTCTTTTTTGTGATAATTTTAAGCAGAAAAATCTTTCTCATCGCCGGACGTCTATTTTTCGGAAGTCGACTACAGAATCAATGGCATCCAAAATTTTCAAAACTAATGTTAAACCACATAAATATTAAATAAACTGCATTAAATAAAATTCACAAAAAAACGTTTTTTTTCTAACTAGCAAATGGATATAATGCTTCATGCAGAAGCAAAGATAAAACGGTAAAAATTAAATGTTGTACAAGAAAGCAAATCTAAATTAGGTTAGATTGCAATAAAGTATACTTCCTTAATAGTTATAAAAATGCATATTACGTGCATTGACCCGAGATTTTCATGGCAGGGAAACGCGGAAAAAATACTTAGAGCACTAAGTAATTGTCTGCATA